CAGCCAGTGGCGGAGTAGCTTCCTTCTCTTCTTTCTTCTCCACCTCCCCATTGTCATTTACGGCAAGGCAGCTTCTTCCTAAGGCACGGCATGTGTGTTTGTGGCGCCTTCTCTGCGGCCCTTTGGTCGAGCTGGTGGCTTCAGTCCCGATTGGTGCTATCGCCCGACTTAGTTCGTCAATCGGGACCTAGTCTTGGTTGTCGGAGCAACGAGGTGGAACAGGTACTGGGTTCTAGTTCTGATCRTCGGGCTTCTAGTTCTGGTTCTAACCATCGTTCTGCCCAGTGACCTGATCTTGCTGTTGTTGTTGTTGTTGCTGTTGCATCTCTACTAGGGCAACAAAACGTCCTTCCCATGTCCTCATCTACAGGTTTATCCCGCAAATGCACTATATCAACTCATTGAATTGGCGTGCATCGGTCCCAACAGAAATTGCTAAGGACTTGACTGGCGGGAGAGGCATGCTCACATTGTGTAGAGGAAAGTTGGGATTCTGCATGACGGAGACACCTGGTAGGGTCAGGGGCACGGTAAACTACCCAATAGTCATAGAGAAGATCTCGGGGTGCATAGTGGGTTGGTCTTGCCCCCTTGTGACCGAGTTGTTGTTGTTAACAGGGTTGTTGACTGGAGTGTTACTGGGAGATGCCATTGAAGACGTACTTGGAAAGAAAGTGTGAGAGTACGGCTCGAACGTTGGACTAAGTAGGTTGCCTGGTCGAGCTGCAAGAAGATAGAGATCAGTGTCCGGGTTTCTTTACCCAAGGTGGGCACTCCGATGCTTAAGTCGGCGGTAAGTTCTTTGAGAGCTATAAAGGGAGAGCTAGTATGCTTGAGAGCTAAATTGCGTGTAGCTTTTTTGTGAGTGGAGATGCCTTTAGATAGGCTAGCTGCCATGAGACTCACAAAGCGGGTCCGAGATCTCTGGCCCATTTGATTTGGAGGCAGCTGCATGCCCAAAGATGAACTCCATGTAAACAGGTAATGTCTATCTAGTTGTGTCCGAAATGAGCAAGGTGATAACCGACTTCTTCCAACATGGYGTCATGATCCCTAGAAAATCGGAAACAACACTCTGGCTGTAGAGGAGGTCACTTGTCACATTAGGCAAGTTGCTAGCTGAATTTGGGTCAGATCGGCAGAAGCAAGTTGCCTCTTACGCCAACCTGACGTTTTGTCTTGAGATCGCCAGGGTGGCTGCAAAGTATCTGAGGCACTCCCAAAGTTTACTTGCATGATGTTAAGGTATCAATTTACTGTTCTAAGGTGCCACTTGTTATCACGTTACTGGAGTGCCAAACCACCCCTCATCAAGTCCTATTAGAGTCGGGACAGGTTGGGTACCCAAAAATTCTCACAAAATTACCATCCCTTACCCCATGCTAAAATATTGAAAAATTAAACAACCAACATTCTATTACGAAGAAAACAAGAGTCTAAAACCTAAGATTCCGGTTTTGTGTACTTGCAAACAAAAATTGGCGACACAATCTTCACCATTAAGCAAGATTCCAATTTTGTGTCCAAATGCCATTTAGAGGTGTGGCGTAAAAAAAATGCCACTTAGAGGTGTTGTTAGGAATTTAAAAGTTGAGTTTTATACTCGTTGATTAGGCAATACCGATAAAGAGTAATTAACGCCTTTTGGGAAATTAAATAACCATGCATGAATGCTGCTGCATGAGACCACACATGTATGTAAATATGTATTACCCTAATTAATTAGGGTTCAGCAGATCCCAACTCGTACGCATTAGCATTACTCTAATTAGTGCTCCTTCTCCTTCTTGTAGTGGAGTTTTTTTAGTTGAAGTGCTATATATCAATCTCTCAATTTCCTACCATTTATGATTCACCAAAACAAATCAAATTAACCTAGTAGAGATAATCGAATGCTTTATGAAGAATGAAAGAATCTAATGATATATATATATATATATATATATATATATATTGTGTGTTAAAAGCACTGCATACAGATGTTATAGTTACTCGTTGAAATACATTACAAAATTAAGGTGAATTGCCTTGCACTCTGCAGGAGTAATAAATAGTTAATTAACCACATCACATGTGATTGGAGGAATCTATGAAAGAGAGAGGACGGACATAGATTTGATTAAACAAAAGCAAAGATCAAATATGAAGTTATATATATATATATATATATATATATTTAGGTAGACAGCGCATTAACCATTATTAGACACAATAAATATCCACGAATAATTATAGAAAGTTGGAACACCTCAAGCTCAAGGGCCTACTAGTCTGGGTAACACGGCGACACAAAAACAAATTATGTATCGCTCGAGATTGAATTCCGTCCCAACAAGTTCATCTTTACACCGTTATATCTCTAATTATATGTTTTCATTCATAGAAATATGTTCTTAATATTACGGATTGCGAGGACCAATTTTATGAGAATGAAATCTAGATTCCTATCACTCCTACACTGACTCTGTAGTTCTTTATCTCCCCTACGCGACCCCAATGAAATGAGAATATATCAAATTATCAATGTTTCAAAAAATTTTTTGAAAAAAATGACAAAATTTCTCACCAATTTAATTTAATTTAAAGAGGATCAATGCATTTGTATTCCATTAAAATTTCGCAACATATCAGAACCACCCTCTGGTACACTTGTACTCTACAGCAACCATTTTGGGTTTGACCTGTTTCAGGGGTAGACATGTCTTATTCCTACCCCTGAAAGAGTTGAAAAAAAAAAAAAGAAAAAAAGAAAAACTAAAAGCGATATTTAGAATTTTGTAGTAATAGGAGGAAAGGTTCACTCTAGCTAACAAGGTTGGATTGGGTTGCTTTAATTTAAAGTGAGGGGCTCTGTTTTCAAATAGAAATGGAATTTAGAAACTAGGTAGCTTTCCGATGAGCAACACGATGGTGCTAAATATGTAAAGTGGCTTTGGGGTGAGGAAAGTAAGGTAAGACTGACATCACATTAGTAAATCAAAATAAAGAGACCGGATCTACTCTTTACATAGCACACAGGGCGTTTCCCATTGATCTCACATGCACATTCTACTGTCCATTGGGAGCATCTTCCGCACTTGTAAGTTATTGTTTACAGGAGATATTCCCAATGCACGGTGAATATGCATATGAGGCGTTTCATGTGTCATGTGTGAGACGAAGATCCCGTTCCCCCAGGAGCGGATGACAAAGCTATAATATAAGGATGAAACTTGAAAGGAGTACAATTTTTTTTAATAATAATAAATAGAAGAAGAAAACAGAAAGGGACAAACCACTTGTGCATTCACTCTCATTTTACTCGTTTTCTAATATTTCCATCATCCTTTGCACAAAAACTAAGAAACCGCTGGACCATGACATCCTAACAAACAAATAGAGATATCCTAGCTAGAGGGATTACAATTTCAAATCTCTGAATTGTTAACTCTATCAAGAAGAGGACCTCTCTCCCCTTACAACTTAATAACGTTTATATATCCTTCTTGCTCAAGCCTGGAACTAAAAACGATTACAATTTACAAATCTCTCTCTCTCTCGAGAAAGGGAAAGGGGATTTTAATATATGGGTACTCAAATCCTGAAACCAATAGATATATGGAGTACCTCCGACGCACAACCAAAACTATCGCTTTTAAATCGCCAAATTTGGTTTCCTGTCAGTGAATTGAAAACTGAGACACCAACCACTTGACATCTGAGCTAAACCCCAGCCTCTATTTTGTCACTTTTTAGGAATTTGGATGGCAGTAAGGTAAGGTAGATGGTGCATAAGCAACGAGCCAGGTTCATCAGATTTACTTCCAAGCGAAGATGAAGCTGTCAAAGTAATGGTCCTACTTCTATATATAACTTATTGAAAGAAGTCAGTCAGAAATATTAGGCTGCTRCAGGGTACAGGCACAGATATGCAACTCATAATCTTCATTCACCAAGAAAGGAAAACAACCAACTGCCTAACTATCCATTTAATGTTCTTTTKGGGGGACCCACACCCACAGTTAATAGTACGTCAATTGCTGTTTTTTCTAATTCTTAATCCTTCCTTCTCCATTTAATCTCCAAACCTCTAGAGGAGGTGTCACATACAATTGAATGTTTGTGTGTGTCAGCTTCTTAATTAAATGCCAAGAAGCTCTTCCAGTTTGGGCCACCAACAGTTCAATTTTCTTCTGCATTTAATTTCATCAACTTCATCTGGGTCTTGTTACAAAGGGAGGTTTTTCTGATGCATTCACACTTCACGTAAACCTCCTTTCCTTTGTAAATTGTAATTGCTTTAATTGGGTTCGTAAACACCAATAAATAAATCTCTCTCTTCTGCTCCCTCTAAATTTAGAGGATCTTTTACATTTGAACAAAGAGGGAGAGGATCAAGAGAAGTTAAGAGAGTCGGAAAAGATTTCAGCTGTGTGATGTTTTGACCATGGATTTCTTTCCATCGTGTTTTGACTGTTTGGGAGTTTTTTATTTAAGAAGTACTTTCTGAATAAATGCTTATTTAGATAAATACATTTGAGCATTTGGTGTGACATTTTAAAATGGGCTTTTCCAAAATCTAAATTGACTTATGGGCTTCTCTTTTTGAAAGGCCTTTTCGTGCTATAAAATGGGCTTCTTTTTAATCCAAAACAGAATAAACAATCAACCAATTCTTTTTTCTAAACCTTTTATAGAAGACTTTTAACTATTGGTTGCTTTTGGCTTATAATAAGCGCTTATTATAATCAGCACAGTCCCAAGTCCCAACCACGGCCTGAAGGTCCTGAACCTGAAGCCCTTCCAGTTCCAGAGTCGCCAACCGAGACAAACAAGCAAATTGCAAAAACAAGTCACAATCATTCTATGACTATGACACCGGAAAACTTATAACCAATTCTTCATTGAATATGTAATTTTACATGGAATGATAATTATCCATGACAGCAATGGCACATCTTAACAAATTGTATTTAATTTCATTAACCATTGAAAAACAAAACGACAAGCACCATGCATGATTACCTGTAAAGCCATTGCCCATTTGGCCATTGGAGATATTATTCATATATTTCTTAGTAATGTTTTTTTATTACAAAATAGTTTCATGATCAATCAAATTAACCATGATTATTCATGAACCTCAGGCTCAGGATTCAGGAAAAAGAAAAAGAAAGAAAAAGGTTTCCTTTGCTCTACAAACTCTACAGTACTCACCATAGATCTTTTGAACAGGAAAATTTGCAGAACCAGAGCAGCGCCAGTAGTATTAGTAGTTCACTTGTCTATATTTCTCGCCTCTTGACTCTGTAAATGGTGTGTGGTTATAAACAGCTGCTAATCTACTTATAATATACAAACCAACCAAACCCCACATGGATCGYCTTCTGAGTTCTGACCAGACAACAACACTCCGAACTCCGAATGGATAGACAGGGAGGAGAAACAACGAGATCATCATCTTCTCATTTCCAGCAGTCCAGCTTCTGTGAACCAAAGAGACGACGACTAAGAATAATATAGACATGTTGTCAATTATCTAAGTTTAATTCGCTTTCTGTTCACTGTACCTAAGACTAGCATCCAGAGAAACGAAACTAAAAACTTCTCTCTTTCTCTATTTACCTTTCCTTCCCTCGACCCCTCCCATCTCAATTCTCAGTTTCTCAGCATCCTTCAGGAATCAAGAATGAAAGGAGTTTGTAAGAGATCGTAAGGAGCCCACAGAGCGTCCAATGGGCATGGGCGGTTGGCGTCGAGTCGAGCCCATGGTTTGCCCTTCCCGCTCCAATGCAAAAGACTTACGGGACCCGGGTGCAGATCCCTGCAAAGTCCCCGGAAATTATCACCGCCCAGGCCGTGTTGATTCCAGCGGTGATCTACTGGAGCAATATTGCCCGCGAAGACGAGCAAAAACGGCGGCAATGACCCCAGTTCGTAAATCCTCATTCTCTTCTGAAGCTCCATCCATTCTTCAATCTTGGTCGTATAATCTCCTTCCCGCCATCGCTCCAGATCGATCACCATAACGCCAGTGTTAAAGTAGCACGCTTTTCGACCTGCGAACGTCAACGACAGAGCTGGGTTCGACCAAAAGGTGAGCGTGAAGTAAGATGTGAAGTTGGCATTGCAGTACTCGGGGGCGGCCAGGACGGCGTCGTTCCCGAGTGGAGTTGCAGCGAGCTTAGCGATGTCGTCGACGAGGATAAGGTCCGAGTCGAGGTAGACGACTCGGCGTACGCACAAGGGAAGGAGATTAGCCAGGTAATTGCGTGCGTAGTTGAGAGGGCAGTCGAGGGCGGCACGTATGGAGGTGGAGATGAGGCCCGATACGGCTGCGTCATCGATGCGATAGAGGTGGAATCGGAGATAAGGGAAGGAATTGGCGATGGTGCGGCGAAGGTAATCAGTGTCGGCAGAGGCAGAAGTGACGAAGTGGAAGTCAATATTTTGGGGGCAAGAAGAATGTTGAAGGACGGATAGGATTGCAGCCACAGAGCCTCGGAGATAGGCGGCATCGAGAGTCATTGCGACGTGGACGATGTGATCGGAGCACACAGTGGTATTGCTGTCGTGGACATGAACGTCGTCGTCGTCGTCGTTGAAGATGGAAGGGCATTCCGGAGAATTGTAGAATTCCGGGGCTTCTCTGAATTGCTGGGAGGCAGCAGCAAGAGTGAAGGTGAAAAAGAAGATGAAGAGAGAAAGGGAGAGGAAGAGGAGAGGGGGTGTTGATGGTCTGGCCATAGTGTCGTGGCCGTGGGCGTAAGGTGCTGATTGCTGAAGACCCAAGGCTAAAGAGTGGAGAGGGGGGTCTGCGGTTTTAAGAGAGAGGGATGGGGAGAGAAATGCGACTAGCGTGTAGCGAGAGGTCGGGTGAGGGTGAGGGTGAGGGGCCCCACTCCCCTCAACTACAACCCAAAGGCTTTGAGCTCACGTTCTTCAGTAGAGAGAATCAGAGAATGAGGGGAGGCTTGGATTCGGATTTGGATATCTGGCTGGCTGGGGGATCTGGGATGCACAAGTCAAGGGTGTGGATCGACCTAAACTTAAGTCGTTGGCTTTGGATTCACATCAATTCCATAACTTTTCTTCTTTGGTTTTTGTCTCAATGTATTTGAATTTTGAATTGGGTCCCACGCCACATCACAGATCACACCATATTGAATGTCCTCTGATTCCATGCTACACCGAGATGCATCAAGTTACCACCTTTCACTTTTCCACCTGAATTCTTACGCTGTAAAGGAGAGTATTGAGTTATGATCCTTGGCTCCCCTAGATTCCCACTGAACAGAAAAACGCAGTTGTCCAGCTCAGCTTCCCTTTTTGGCTCCCCTAGATTCTTCTAATAGTTTTGTATTTTTTGAATTCAAAAAAAAAAAATAATTTTTAATAATAAACATGACATCTTCAAAACATAATAGTCTTTGAAATGCCAAAGGGCATCGGTAATTAATATATAAATAATAGTAATATTTAATTAGATGTATTATAATAGTAATTTAAATTATAATTATAATTATAATTAATTAAATTATAAATCACTAAATATCTAAAATAACTATATTTACACTGTGTTTGGTTTGAAGGAAAAAGTAGGGAAATGAAAGGAAAGGTARGGAAACATTTACAAACCTTGTATGAATTTTCCTTCTTACTTTTCCTTTCCTTTTTCTACCTTTTCCTTCAAACCAAACATAGCCTTAAGTTAACCCAACTTTTAATATTTACAATAATATAAAAAATATTCATATATAAATACATGTATATAATCATGTCTAAATAGTAAAAGTTGACATAAATACTAATATATATTATCATATTTAAGTTAAGTTGAATTAAATGTTAATATTTATACTAATATTTGGTTACATGAAAATAATTTAAATTAAATAATAAAAGAGTTAGGGTATAATAGAAACTGAAAATCTCTAATATCAGTAATTAATTAAGTTATAAATAATAACTATATATATATATATTACTAATAATATAGGATTATATGCATTACAATAATAGTTAATTTAAATAAAAAATAAAATTACAGTAGTTTATATAGCAACTTCATGATCCCAGCCAAGGTTCAAAATATCATACACCCCGATTGTCTTTTAGAATTGGAAAGGCTCACATATTCGCAATCAACCACAATAACAAAACAGGAATCCTGGTCTTACAATGCCTAGTTCTGTAATCCAATATTTGGATCACCATAATAATTGTTTCTAGTCCACGGGAAGGGTTTTTTCTCTTACAAATGGATTTTGGGGCAAGAATGGACTTTGGTATTTCATAACCCATATGGTTACAGGTAGGGTACCGGTATTAGGCTAAACCCAGCCCTCCCTGACCTGTGTATTGTTGCAAGGCATATGAAATTATGTACTAATTGTTAAATGCAAWAATAACTTCAAATTTTATGTGAAGGATAATTGATAGTTTGTGTTTTCTACATGTTTAATCAAATAATTGAAATTTTTGATATTCATTTATGCTATTTTACTTGTTTATTGAATAATAGGAAATTAGATGTAAGTTCTAAACTCAACCCACCAATCCAACCACCTCATCCTCAAATACAATGAGGGTTTAAATTCTGAAAACCTAACCTGCTACAGGTTTTGAGGAGAGTACAGGTTGGGAGGTCTAAGGAGGTGGATAGGGTCTTAGAATTTACAAAACCCTCCTTAAAACCCCACCCTATTACCATCCCTAGTACCACCCACGGACGATTACTTGCTTTATATTGTCTATCCAACCATGACAAAATCTCCTATATATTTAAAAACCAATTGGAAATATTCAATCACAATTGAGAGATTTTTTTYTTTTCAATATCAAGGTTTAAAATATAAGAAAAACAAATAACACCAAAAGGCAATTTTAATATCCATATAAATATTTCAAAAAATCTCAAATAAATCCTGAAAAATACAATAAGTTTTACATTACTATATAAACAAGGATGTACACAAAAAAGAGACATACTTTAAAATTATCCTGCATTTCCACTCAATCCCTGTCAAACGTTTCATTCTATTAGGCTCAGCTTGGAACAAATACAAATATGTAGGGTGCAAAACCTTCTATTTTGTTATTTTGTATGTATTTGATTATTTGCACTGTACATATTTGTATTTATGCTCTTTTCAAACTGAGCTTTTAACAATTAATATGTGTGTAAATACCCATAAATAGGAGAATTAGCTATACATTCATTAGTCATTAGGTTCCTCTACTTAAAAGGCTTATGCCTTCCATGTTTRGAATCTTTCCGTTGGCAAAAAATATGAAAATATGAATAGAAAGTTAGAAACTGAAAGGTCTTTTAATGAAAAAATAAGATAGTCCAAATGCTTTATTTAGCGAAACAAACTGAACTGTCCAAAGCTCTTGATCCCTGTAGTTGAGTTGATCAATCGGCAATTGGCAGAGTTCAAATCAGCCCCCCACAAGATTGCCCTCCACAACATCCCACAGCATATTCCCGCCGTGTATTGGAAATATCTCCCGATGATGATATTATCATTTCTGATATTATCATCAGGAGATGTTCCCAATACATGGCAAAGATGTTCTGTGGAACATTATGGAGGACAATCTTGTGGGGGGCTGATTTGATCTCCAATTGACATCTCTCTTAAGATTGAGATTGAGATTGAGACACAGTAGGGTTGACACACGGAACTGCACTATCTGTGGTATGGCCGGTGGACCTCACACATGGACCCTACACTATCTCCATCAAAGTACCAGAAAAAAAAAAGAAAAAGGAAAAATTGCTTCAAAGGCCCATTCCAAATTGGACCCCATATGGCCATTAGTCTGGTCTAATAATCATGAGATTAGATTGATAATGAAATTATGCGATTATAATCAAATTTAAACTGGGTCAATTGGCATTTTAACTGGTTCTTTCCAACAAAGACGGAGTTCGAACCCCAGTACCATCAACTTTGGGAAGGAGGGATTATAAGTGTGGTGCTATATATGCCTACTCAAACAGCCCCTGTTTGAAAGAAAGAAGCCCTGTTAGGGTTTTCGGACATATCATCAACAAATACCACATAAAAAAAAACAGGCCCAATTAATTTGCATATAGGAATTGAATTATCGGACAATGGGTCCCAAACCTTTGAATATGTGAAATACAACAAAAAAGTTAGAGCAGGACCTTTTCAAAGGTCGTACTCCTACGTAGGGTTGTAAAATGACGACCCTTTAAACAAAACTATTACATATAATCTCAGTTTGGAAGGAGAATAAATATAAGGTTGTAAAACCTTATATTTTGTATGTATTATATAGTATATATTTATACTTATACTCCTTCGAAATGGAGCCATACCATACGTACAAAGTTACAAACTATGTTAATTTAAATCATATTACATTAGGGTGGCTCCGTATGCATTCCAATTACAAAAGAACCCCAACTCATCAGGTCTATTCAAATCAGGTTCTAGATTTGAATATTTTTGGTAGAATAGTTTTAGATTTGAATTGGGACAATTGATACCATTTACAGCCTTTGTCCTATGGTTTGAAATCTAAGCTTTTGGTTGCAAATATTTAGAGAGTTATGATGATGAAGTCCCCATTAGGAAAATAAGACTAACTATCTCTAAATTAATGGAAATTTGAGTATTGAAAACTTTGGAACAAGGTATCTAACCTCCCAGTCCAACATCCCAAAGAGGACCCATTGGACGCGGGTCCTATGGAAAGATTGAGGAGGGGTAACAGGCACATTCTTCTTTTGGAGGGCCAGTGTATAGCAAAAGAGAGAATAGACCTTAGGGACCCATTCTACTGGGACCGAGGGCCCACCTACCAAGCCCAACTTTGTATAAAGGCATTCTCAAAACTTTCAAGAGATAAAACAAGACTTTGGATCTCCTGTTCACAAGAACTCTATACATGTCTACCTACAATATACTATTTCTATACATATTATGCAGGAGGATGAAATATTCTTCATGTGTATCWGCGATGTTATATGGGTAGATGTGAACAAAATTCTTATAGGCAAGAGATCCAGACTCACAAAACAAACCTCCACCTCCAAACACAACCCAGAATCAGGAGGCAGACAATGAACAAACAGTAATGTGTCAAGTGCCTTGACCGCGAGTCCTGGACAGAATCAGACATACATCTCTCTCTACTCTCTAGTCTCTTCACTCTTCAGGGTAAAAGAATATTTCAATTTTCAACTTCCAGAGAGAAAAAATAAAATAAAGAATATCTCAACTACATTTTTTTTTTTTAATTTGTGTAAGGCACACTTATACTGGACTTTCTGGTAATGGTAGTTGATGCAAGCCCTGTTGGGTGTCGCTCGGAATCTGGCTTCCAACTTGTACTCACTTTCTTGTACCACCAAACGCAAGATTTAGAGTGAGCATAGGTCGTCGATTTGATTCAGTTGTAACGTAAAATCTGAAACCTATTTTGTGGGGGCCGATTTCAGGTTTTTGGTATCAAAACCTACCCTAACAAGATCTCCAAATAAATAATAGATAAATCCAATATTTTTTTGTTTGTATTCAAATCCAAATCAGATATTTATCCAAATTAAAGCTTACCAAATTCCGGACCATTCTTCAACAATGGTGCAGCCAGTTTCTTTAACCTCTCAAGGATGATATTGTTATTAGTAAGGATTCGTTTGGTGTTGCGTATAAAAATCAATTTAAAATCTGTTTTTAGAGCTGAAATTTTAAGTTTGTAATCAGGCACTTAATGTGCTTAGACGTAATTGAGAGGTGTGTAAAAGACATAAATGCTCTCAAAGAAATTTTAATATTATATGGTTTTTTGTCCTTCATGTAACTTGAATCGTACCCTCACTGTGACATAACGAAGCTCCACCGCCACTACCGTTGCTCTCTCTCTCTCTCTCTCTCCCTG